GTGTATAAAGTTGTTCCTTGTCTTATCAATACCATATAGATAGATTTACGTACCTCGTATTCGTATTCACCTAAGCGTTTTTTTAAAGGTATGCAATATATTTATTTATTTTTAATTTTTAGTATTGATCTACAATTGTTTTAGTTTGTCATTTTGTATTGGCAATCAAACATTTTAATGGTAACAGCAACTTTAAGCCAACACACATGACCCGATAACATGTTGTGAAGTCAGCTCAAATCAGTAATCCGTGTAAAAAATTCCTACCTTTCAAAAATCAATTTATGAAATCATTTTGATTCATAGTCAATGTTTGTTATGATTAATACTAAACCTTACATTTTCTGACAATAATGAAACAATTTTCAGACTACTATGACTATGACTATACTTATATTCTAAATTTAATGAAATAGGTAATATTTTATAAATAAAGCTTACATTAATTTATACCTTAGACTTTATGTGGTAACAAATTATAATATATATATCTGATGCTAATGACCTTGATGTCGAGACGTACATTATTTTAATTTAAAAATAATAATAGATATTTTTTTAATAGTTTAATTAAGCTATTTAGTTTTACCCTCTAGATACGCATATTATTATTTATTAAATGATACATTATTTTCTTTAATTTGCAGCTAAAAACAAAGTTGTAAAGCACTTGGTTTATAATTTATTTTATACACATATGTACACTTATATACCATAAGGTTAATTGTAAAATACATTCAAAATCACTTAAATGTCAATGAATTCGTGAACTTTTGAGGATCAAAGTATTTTATTATTTTTTACTTCTTTAAATAGCTATAATAGTGGTACCAGATCCCAGAGGTTGACTGCTCCCTAGAATGTACATTTATCAAGGTTAGCCTACTTCCATAGTTATAGAAAATCTTTACCTACTAGTTGTGTCTAAGGAATCTATAATATTTAGACTAATAATCAAAATTAAAAGTATATTATATACTATTAATGTCTACTATTCATAATCTTCTTCATAAGAATTATGGCTAACCTAATAAATAAAGGTATAAAATTACTTTACCAGACTACCATTTTTTTTTAAATTATGTTTTTAGAACTTACGTATATTAAAGAGTTGAGAACAATGGTACAATCAGAGTTTGTTGTTCGGGCTTGAAAACTACTTGTCAAACTATAAGTAAGGTCTAGAGTTCTAAATCTACAAACCAATTTCAGTGCCAAACTATGTAATTCTGGAAAATCTACCATGGGTATGCATTTCCAAAATTCTATAACTCTATATATATTTAAATTTTAAAACCGTTAAATTTTGAATTTCTATCAATTCTAATAGCATATTAAGGTTATACTTTTGGAGATTGTGTGGGGCTATGATTAAAAAGTTATTTAAATTTTCTTTTTTTTTAAATCTACTGAATCTTTCTTGAAATTTGTATATGTATAGTGATGAAATATGATTTTTTAAAATCATTTTGATTGACTCGATTGTTGAATGATAAAATATATACAACTTTTATAATTTATTAAATATTGAAAAACATAATTTTAGAAATATTTAAAAATGATATATGCAAAAGGCATGCATGCCACAGGTTAGCCATTCTGGGTCTAGACTCTACCTCCACCCAATTCTCCCCTTGAGGAACTATTTACAAGGGGGGTTGAGTGCCAACCATACCAAACGAAAGGTTTGTAGGACATTAGGAACACAAGTTGTGTGACTGGAACAAGCAGGCGTACAAACAAAAACTCGCAAATGTCAGATGGTGTTACAACATACAAATTAATGGTTTGAGCAAATTTTATTTTGCACTATGGTTCTTAAATCATTAATATACTTAATTTAGATTAAGTTACTTAAATTTGATCATACAACCCAGCATTAGCAAACTGCACTTCAACCCATCTTTTTATTAAGAGTTAGTGCTGTATTACCAGAGATTTTTGACATCGGTCCTCCTTCCACCAGTATATATTTCTACACTCTTGTTAAAACTAACGTAATACATAAAATATTCTGAACAATAAAATTAAGTATTCAATTTCATCCGAATTAGATCTTAATAAAATCTATAAGTAGGTGGTATTCAACCTAAACATTATTAAATAATTAAATCGAGAATTAAATAGTTTATTTATCAAATATCCTTAATGCCGAGAAATACTACAAGGTAGGTAATATAAAAAATAATAGTTATCAATTGGTACATTTCCTTATTTTTTTTATACCTATTAATGACAACACCGTTAAAAAAAATTAAATGATAAATTCAGAAAACAAAATTGATAATTACATAAAAATGTACAATTAGGTCCAATAATCGTACCTAGTTCCACTATTATTTTGGGTTCTACCAATAGGATAGATTTCCTTCATCTGCATGTTTCTATAATAGGTATATGGTTATCCGGGGTGTTATTTATTAGTATCATGTACATTATCCTATTAGCTTAATATGTTTATAATACAGATTGTAAGTTTTTCCATTATAAAAATAACTATTTTAAGCATTGTCCATTTATACAAATAGTTTATTGTTATAGTTTGCAAATAAGTAAACAGATACAAGTATTGTAACAGAATAAATATCAAGTTATAAATCAAATAAGTACACAGATACCTACATACCCAGCTTAAAATGTTGACCAGTTAGGTACTTCATAAGGTAATAAATAATTAAGAATTTGAAAATAAACCTATATTAAGTGTAAGTGAAGATACGATAAGTGTACCTATGTATTTATTTAAGTTAAGGTAAAATGTATGAAATTTTGTTAGGTATGGGAAGGTGATCAACATATTTTAGGATAATATTTAGCAGAATATTAAATACCTATATAAAAAGTATAGATTAAAATAGCTACCTAATAAAAATGATCGTTTAGGTACCTAATTTGTTTTAACTTGGATAGAATTAGGTACTGTTTTTTATTTTTAGATGTTTTGGTGACAGACGACAGTATGAATTACTTATGAGGTACCTAAAAATGTCCTGCTATTGTAGTCAAAACTGAAAAAAAAATTATAGATACAGATACCTTAATAATTTATTTAAATAGTTAAATGTAAATAAATTATATAGGTATGTATAATAGGTACATTACTTATTGATAAGAAGTTGAAAGTTAGTTTAATAACAAAATAAAAGTTTAGTGTTTAGATTCTGATCTCTAACAAATATAATGGACACATACATGGCTATATACCTGCGGAACTATAATGTATTGGAAAACATTATGACACTTATCTCTTCTTCACATAAACTTGAACAAAAACCATTGTTATTAGCGAGATTATTATGAAGAATACAGTAGGTTTATTATTGAAATTTTCCTAAAATATGCTCAGATACTGATTCGGGTTAAATTATTGACATTCCACCAACGTTTTAAGCAAGTTTTAAGTGATAATATAATAGGTATATTTTAAATTAACATAAGACTTATTTTTAAAAATCAAATAAATGAAGCATGGCTGGGTAAGTAGGTACATCTTAAATAATAACCTTGTGTTTGTACAAAATACAACATTTTAAACATGTTAGTAACCCTGCTACTTTCATATATTGTTTATCATCCTAAAAACTATATATTTCGATACTTTCCACTTATCCCAGTTATAGTGGGTTTCAACTATGTTATCTCGATTACCTGTTATTGACTGCAGTTATTTCTGTTAAGCTAGTTTAGTCATACTAGTTAGTAGTAAATAATAACTTTGGGGCTCTGCTAATAAGAGGTACCTATATTTCATATTATATACACCAATACATTAATAATAGGTATAATAAGCGTTTTAGACTGAAATATTATAACATAGATTTAAAGATCATTAAAAGAACATTGTACCATCATTACCAAAAGCCCAATTGGCTACTATACTACACACATCTATATCCTGGTATACATATATATTATAATATCTAGCTTTCATGAAATTAAGCAACATTTAAGATGTATTGCACTCAATAACGAGAAACGCGACAATTACCTATGATTAACTATTTCGGATTGTAGTCTACGATAGATAGTAAATAAAAATAATAATCCCAGTGATAATGTCAGTAAAAAGTAAGCATAAACACTCACAATCCAAATGTTTCTTTTTCGGTCCGATAAGCTCTTCGGTGGTGGCCTTGCACACAGACTTGGCCAGACCTTGTCCAGCCAAACTGTGTCGGGCAGCCAGGAGTCTGTCTTGTATCGTTTGACCGGCCATCGCGAACGATTCTTCACGTACAACTGTACAAGTGCTGTGAGCTTTTCGTTTCTCCTTCTCTCTCTGTGTCGTTTTATTGTCAGGCAGACTATCTACCTGGGCGGTTTTGGTGAGCGTAATCCAGAAACAATCAACCTGATTAAATTGCTCGGAAACTTATTCGCGAACGATTTTGCACGTACACGATTTTTTTTTCTCCACCGTAACGCGACGTTAAGGGGACTCACTCGAAATCCTAGCTAACGTCGTCTGTGGTGGTGTACTGCACTGCCGTCTCAGTCTGCTAGCCAGTAGTTGTAGCCTGTCGCCGACGTTCCTGATAATAATAATAATGACAGCGATGAAAAAAACACACTCACACGCACACGCACACGCACTACTTATCACGGTTCAATAAGACCGTCGTCGGATTCGTCTTGCCGGTAGATCACTAGATCGCGGCCGCCTCGTCATCTGTGGACGAGATTGTAATAATTTTATTATAGAATTCAGTGGTAGTGGTCGTCGTTGTTTTCGTATGGTGCAAACAATATTCTCCGTTTCCCACAGCAGACGAGCCGAAAGGATGGAAAGAGAAAATTTATATTTAGGGGAGGTGTCGAAACGAGCTTCTGTTCGTGACTTACGTCTCACTGGCCACTGCGACTGTTCGATGGGGTTTAACACTATAGTCTATACTTCCATAGCACCCGTTCGCAGGCGCGAAAATATTTTCGAACCGTTTGCGCGTGCGCTCGTGGGGTCATGGTCGAGTACTCGAGTTTTCCCCACCCCCGAACAACCTCACTGTTATCACTCATCTCCCGCCCGACTGATAACAAAAAAAGTTTCGCCGACTTCCCAGTTCCGAATGTTCGGTTTCGATACTTCACGTTAGTGAACCTTTAACTCGTGTCTGATCTTTATTGATATGATTGAGTTAGGGACCAACATTATTATGCCATGGTAATGTACAATTGACGAACTCTCACAGTTACGGAATGTGTCTTAACTAGACGAGTAAACGACGCTTTAAATAGAAAATTTCGTAACGATGGTTCGTACAGCTATTTTTTCCGGATCCAGTTATCGACTGTGTAAGCGATATGTAGCGGAAAAGGTAATTACTAAATATTTTAGATTCTGAGCAGAGTAATGAATGTATTGATTAATGATTTTACTGTGTGTTGTCCACTTTCTTTGATTGTGTGTACACGATAATTAGTCAAAATAATGCTTCGATTTTCAACTGCAGTATCTTTTCCGATAGCACAGTGAATCTTGTTGGTGCATCCAGTTAAAATCACCCAGGCATTTTCAAAAGCACCGTGGAAAAAAATAATTATAAATAAACAGGAATTTTTACGCAAGATCGATTTTTTTTTTTTGGTGTTACCATAAAACAAATTTCCGTGGCTACATACAGAAATAATTTTGTATTGTTTTGAGCTGTTTATGGACATTTTAAACTTTTTCTTTAAATGTATATACAATGTTATTTGTTGGGGAAAATGCTTGAAATTTTAATACAATGTTCCTCATTGTTAAAATATCAGTTAACAAGTATTAATAATAGACAGACAAGATTTATAAGCATTTAAAGTTCAAATTGTGACAACATTTATCAAATTGAAAATGTATAAATGTTTTTGCAGTTAAAAAGCTAAGGATTGAAAATTTAAAATAAAGTTCCATATAATTAGTACAAATTGTAACCAAAAAATATATAACCGCAGTTTTTTATATAGTTATTTTAAGTTCAAATTAGGATGAAATTAGATATTTTATCGAAGAATAAAGATAATAATTTTGTGTTATAATTTAAAAATATTAGGTATTTGTTGGTACTTGAAATTTTGAAAGTATATTATTATACTCAACATTTTGTAACAACCTGTATCAGCGGAAAATCTACTGCCTAATTCAGGTATAACCGATATGTTTTTGCCCAAAAAAAGGGCGCCCGGTAAAGTAGAAATTTCAATAGAAATCGGGATAGAAATGTTCCTTGAAAAATTAACTTGTAAAAACAAATAATTCAATATACGTTGTGACTAAACTTTGATTTTAAAATGTTTCAGGTTGCCTGTGCAATCAATAAAAATTCAGCAGACGTAATAAATGATTTCATAGCTAACCTGAAAATAGGCAAAGGAAATTCTATGAACGATATTGGTTTCCACATGCCTCTTAATATTATTCAAAAACATTTTGGAGCAGATTCATTAAAAGATTTTAAAATACCGAGTCATGAAATAACAACTTCTAAATTAAATCCTCAACATGTAATAATACATTTGAATAAATATGATTTTATAAATGACATACTTAAAAACAATATTGATTTAACTCGACAACAGTGTATGCAGAATTCTAAACCTGTCATCATTGATTTTAGGTAATTGGTAAGTTTAATTCACCATGTATATTTTAAGTATAAATTCTTTTCAGACACTGATCACTATGTAAAATTATGCAAATTTCTATCATTACAGTTCTCCAAACATTGCAAAACCATTTCATGTTGGTCATTTACGTTCAACTATTATTGGAAACTTTATTTCTAACTTAACAAATTTTATCAATGGCCGTGTTGTTCGTATTAACTACCTAGGTGACTGGGGACCTCAGTTTGGTTATACTCTACTAGGATTAGAACAAATGAAACCAGATATGTCTAATAACAATATGACAATAGAATCTTTACACAACGCATACATACTAGCCAATCAAATGGCAACAGAAGATTCGAGCATTCATATCAAAGCTAAATCTATATTCAAAGATTTAGAGTGTGGTAATTCTACTTCTGATATTAATAACCTATGGAATAAATTTAGATCAATCACTATTAATGAATTAGAAATTATTTATAAGAGACTGGGAATAGTCTTTGATGAATATGATTGGGAATCAAAATATTCAAAGGAGAAAATTCAAGATGTTCTAGAACAGCTCAATAAAACTGGTTTATTAAAACTTAAGGAAGATGGATCTACTGTTGTGCTTTCTAATAATCAAGAAATCACAATTTTAAAAAATGATAATTCTACATTATACTTAACACGAGATATCGCTGCTGCACTTAGACGCCACAAATATTATGGTTCAGAAGATTTATTTTATGTTGTTGATAATACTCAAAGCAAACATTTTTACTTGCTGAAATCCATAATTGCTCAAATTAATTCAAATATAAATGTGCATCACATTCCATTTGGGAGGATACATGGTATGAGCTCAAGAAAAGGACAGGGAATATTATTAGATCAACTTCTAAATCAGGCAAAATCCACTATGAACTTAAAAAGAAAATATTCTGAAAGTTGGTATCTGAAATAATTAGGGTTTGGAACTAGTTGCATTTGATTATTTATACAAATATGTATTTTCCTGCAATGGTTGTAAAATATTCCAGATGAGATATAAATTTATTTTTTGAAATACCTAAATTAAAATTTACAAAGATTAACTTTTACATATCTGTGTATATTTTATTATATTTTACAAAAAAGTCATAATTTACAAAAAAAATTAAGCATTTAGCAATACTGTTACAATATTAAAGCATAAATATTTTATTCCTGTTTTTGCTCCCTATAATTTTAGCTAAAGAGCATTTTTGTAATTTTAGTTCCATATTTAAAATAAGTACATATTATTATTGCAATAAGTTTTGAACCCTGATATTAATATTATTATCATCCCTTATTAACATTAATTATTTTCAGCTACCAAAATTAGTTCAACAGATGATAATGAAGTAGCAGATATATTAGGAGTATCTGCTATAATAGTAAATGATCTAAAACAAAAACGAAAAAAAGATTACAATTTTTCTTGGGAGTCAGCATTGCAGGTATCTATAGTTTAAGTTATTGGTTATTTTTTTCAATAATTGAACAGTTATTTTAAGCACACATGTCTGTCGAATGTTAAAATAATTTACAATGTACCATTGATAGTAATAATTACATCAAATTAGGAAGTACTGAATGTATCTTATTTATTTATTTTTTAGGTAAATGGAGATACTGGCATTAAACTCCAATATACTCATTGTCGTTTAATAAGTTTAGAAGAAGTTAATTGCAATATAACTTTACCCAACAAAGTCATTGCTGAATGTTTTACTGAAACTGTTGCATTGGACTTAATTTTAGAAATATGTCGGTAAGTTATTTTTTAACTATATAAATAAGGTTCTAATTGTTATATTATAACTTCACATTTGTCGTTTAGTATTATATTTTTAATATGCCAATCGACTTTTGATGTAATGTAGATTCTGAAAATAATCACAGATAGTTACAATAACTTTGTCAAAATCTTGATAAATTTTTTTCTCACTTTTATTACTCAAATTCGCCATATTTTGAATACAGTAATTTGAAAATGGTTGCTATTGTTTTAATTTGTGTTCAAGACTTAAAATGATGAAATCAAAAATGTAGGATGTAGAATAGGTCTCAAGTAAGTTTCATTAAAAACTAAAATCTATATTTACTAATCTTATGAATTGGCATACGAGAACGAATCTGTTGTGCATAAAATAGACAAATAGATAACCAATCACCTTTTTTAATCTCCTTAAATAGCAGTTGATTGAAAATTAATACAAATTAAAGTTTATACCACTTACATTGCTGTACCTCTAATTTTACAATAATTAATGTATAATATAATTTTGTTTTTCAGATTTGAAGATATATTAACAGAAACTAACCAGGAATTAGAAGCATGTATTTTAGTTAACTATTTATTTCGATTATCCAATTGCATCAACAAAGCCTTAAAAGTTTTAAATGTTAAAAATTCTAGCAGTACTATTGCTCAGCAGAGAATTTTGTTGTTTTGCAGAGCTAGAGAAACTCTTAGTGCTGGAATGAAAATTTTAGGATTAGTACCATTAAAAAGTATGTAATTTTAACTAATTTTACTTAGTAATTTCTGTTCTAATGTACAAATCTAAAGAATAAAAATAATTTGTAGTTTTTACTGAAACTTTCATTTTATGTTAGAACCTACTATAAGGGCCAGTTGGTACAGTCTGTGATTAAAGTTAATCACAGTTTAACCATCCGAATTTGGCCGGTTAAATATCTGTTATCAGCTGATTAAGCGTAATCGGAGTTTAATCACAGACTGTACAACTAGCCCTCAATCTATTACTTTTGATTATTATAAATAATCTAAGATATTTCAATTTCCATGGATTATAAATAACCATGGACCCCCACATGAGTTATCTCAGTGAAGTGCAGTAGTCTGTTATCAGATGTTAGCAAATATGAAAAAAATTGATGTGTTCTTCAATTATTGTGATTTTTTAAGCAGAAGTTGCAATCTAGTATTGATGTAATATCTGTAAAAAATTGTAATACCTTATTTAGCATTACCAGTGTACTAATTAACTGCTAAACATAAAAATAAAAATTCATGTTTCTGTAAAATATGCATGTTAACACACTTTTGACCTGATTAAACAACTAAATACAATTTAATTTCATCACTCATCTATAATTTTAAATGTTTTCGCTGATATTTAATAGTTGAAAATTGCACATGTGTGTCAGCCATCAGGTGTTATACATTTACACAATTACAACATATTTACTAATGCTTATATTTGTGGTAAATTGCATTCACCTGTATTTTGAGTGCAAATGCTTTCAAAACCAGGCATTAAATAGTAAAATAAAATCTTTAAATTCTAAATAATGTACTTAGTAGTATTGTACTTATGTATTATAACGTATATACCGTGTATTGCTAAAACCACTTTTAATGTATTTTAAAATAATATATAACTAATATTCAGGGCTGTTATACCTAAATTATGAAAACAACAATTACCTCTGTATTAATCTATTAATAATTTTATTAGGCTATTATTTTACTTGCTAATTATTTCTGAAGTGATAATTTCAATATAATCACTGATAACACCTGATATTAATGAATTCAATTCACATTTGAATCTTAAACAGAATAATATGCCTATTATACATTAGCAATTTTACTCGGCATTAGATTAAAATATTATTAATTAATAATGATTTGTCAAGTAAATATTTATTTAGTACTTACCCGTTATTCTTTTTTTTCGTTGGTAAATTAACTAAAAATATCCATGCAAGGACAACTTAAAAACATGTTCACAGTATGAGATAAAATTGATGATTTTCAAAAAAAAATATTAGTTAGGCTGTAGAGGATCTAGAAATGTTTCCAAATTTGTATGAATATATGAATGAGAAGGATGTTAACTAGCAAATGGTAGCTATTGTTCAACAGCATTTACAATCACTTACAGAATCTTATATGTGGATAATAGATCCATTTGTGGCAAACAATGAAAATAACAAGTTAAATATGAGCAAGAAAGCCTCATCAATTTATCATCCAACTCCATGCTCAAAACTAAATTCCTGGAATTATAAAAATGTTGTTTTTGACTGTTTGTTGAAAATGAATACCAATTGTTGAGTGAGAAAGCAATGAAAATTTTAATTCAATTTTCGAAAATGTATTTATGCAAAAAAACATTTTCATCTGTCACAGCTATTATGACACGGTACCAGTCTCAGCTAGAAATAAGTAAAGTTCTACGTCCTACAGTGACTATATTGGAGCCAAAATTGCACAAAAATATTCTGAACAAGCAGAAACAAGTTTCATATAAAAATTTAATTAAAACTTAAAACTCTCGTCATAAATTAAAAGAAATCCGTATTCATTATTTTATAAATGTATTTTTTTTATTAATTTGGTATAAGACTTATCAATGGAACGGTATTTATATAAAAACCTATGACAAGTTTAAAGTGGAAAGTGGAATTTAAAGTATGTTATTAGTGGTCCATTTTTTTTTTTTTTTTTTTT